ACAAAAATAGGTAAATGAGGCTTAATTAAACTAAAAAACTTCTGCACAACAAAATAATAAGCAATAGAGTCAACAGACAACCTGCAGAATGGGAGAAAATATTTGCAAACTATGGATCTGTCAAAGGACTGATATCCAGAGTCTACAAAGAACACAAACAGCAAGAAAAAACAATCCATTAAAAAGTGGGCAAAGGACATGAACAGACATGTTCTCGAAAGAAGACATACAAGTGGCCAACATACATATGAAAAATTCTCAACATCACTGATCATCAGGGAAATGCAGATTAAAACTACAATGAAATACCATCTCACTTCAGTCAGAATGGCTACTATGAAGTCAAAAAACAACAGATGTTGGCATGGACACAGAGAAAAGGGAATGCTTATACACTGTTGGTGGGAATGTAAATTAGTACATCTATGTATTAATAAAACAGTGTGGAGAGTCTTCAAAGAATTAAAAATAGAACTACCATTCAACCCAGCAATCCCACTACTAGGCATCTACCAAAAGGAAAAAAAATACTTTGTCTAAAAGACACATGAGCTTGTATGTTTAATGCAGCCCTATTCACAACAGCAAAATCATGGAATCAAAGTGTCCATCAATAGTCGACTGGATAAAGAAAGTGTGATATATATATACACCATGGAATACTATGCAGCCAAAAAAAAAATATTGTCCTTTGTAGCTGGAGGCATATGCATGTGTGTGTGTATATATATACATGAAAAGCTTATACATAATATCTTTGTTTTTTGATGGCGGATAGTAACAAATTACTATAGTTTTTAAATTCAATTGAATAAATAAACGGCACAGTAATTTAAAAAAATGCCAATATATACTATATTCTGAAAAATTGCATCTTTTGCAGATTTTCAAATATTTGACAAAAAATTTAATGTGTCAACTTAAAAATTTGAAAACCACTTATGTGTACTTTCTGTACTCTTACGACACTCCTTATAGTACTATAACTAGTTGTTTTCAAATCTTAGCTCTTTTATGAGAATGCAAGTGACTTAGGGTAGGGACTATGTTTTCTAAGCTTTGTATGTGTCACAGAACTTTAACAAAGTATCTTGTTCATAAAAAGAACTCAATTAACTATTTGCTGAATTAAATTATTTTCATCAAACAGAGTCATTCATTTCTCTTCTACTGTTCTTATTTAGTCTTCAGGTTAGTTTTTCTACTACTTATAATTAAAACAACTGCCAGATGGGAATAAAATTTGGCCTTAAAAAATCATTCACATTTTATTTCTAAAATGAGAATGGGAAAGTACTGTCAGAAGGAAATGAGTATACATAATAAACCAATATCAGTTTTTAAAGTGTGTTTTTTTCTATATAAATGAAGCAACACTAAGCATTCAGAAATGTATTTATTGATATCAAACTATTGTATATATATACTTTTAACTCAAAGTAGTTTCTTTTCATGATCATGCACCAAATTAGCAGTAAAAATAGCAGCAGATGGATCAGAGTGGTTGTCAATAAACCTTTTCTCCCCAGGTCACTAATACATAATTGCCATGAAAAAAAAACCATATATATGTATTTACATTTGACTCATCACCTCTGCTTAGGACTCTACAGGGTCAGTTCAGCACAAGATATTGCTGAACTGCTGTATTTACTACATATGGAACAATTAAACTAGCAATAAGAAGTAGTTTATGCATGTATGCTGGCCTACATATATATACCTCTTTGGCAATTAATGAGGATTATCAACAAAGTTTGGTCTTGTCTTGTGATTATAATTCTATTACATTATATTTAAATGTGATATGCAGAATTTTGTTTTATAATTAGTATTATTCTAAGAAATAATAGTACATGTAGATCCTGTAAAAATAACATAACTTATACAAAAGCAAATTCAAAAAATACAATAAAAACTCTTATAATCTTACTTAAGGAATATCAGGTTTGGATTTAGGAATTAGATAGCCTAGTATCTCTTCTGATTCTTTGTTGTTGTTGTGTTTTTCAGGGGAGAGCATGAACACAGTCCCCCACTACTACAAACTATGCAGTTGGGTTTCCCATATTTGGGGAAATGGCAGGGGTCAGCACATCCGGAGTATAATGGATGAGCCTTGCCCTGGGAAAACCACCTTTGTGATTGTGATAGCTCCCCTGCCAGGTAAGCAATCTCCTGATTCTTCCCATTCCCTCATTGTTGTGAGATTGTTTCTTTGAAGCAAGAAAATATTATCTTGAACTTATAAAACTCCTTTTTTTAAAAAGAAAAATTTGGAACTATCTCGTATATGATAATTCTTTATCCTAACAGTATGGCTATGAATACTAGTTCTAGGTAGCATTTATTGAGTACTTTCTTTGTAGCAGGCACTATGCTTAGCACTTCATGTTTAATCCTCACAACTCTCTGAGGTAGGTAATATTACTGTGCCCATTTTACAAGAGAGGGCTCGAAACCCAGGTCCATGGAAGGCAAAAGACACAAATGGGGATATTAATATTCTGGCCTTCCTGAACTCCCCATTAGACTGTGAACTCCTTGAAGTGTAGGGGGAGGGAGCAATGCCTTACTACATCTTAGTTGCATTACAGTGCTGACCATGTAGAGGAAAGTAGGGAGGAGGAAACTAAGATAGGACCTTTTCCTGGGAGTCATGACAGTGGGCAATCCTAGATGTAGCAGGTGACTGCCAGACCAAAAACTCTAATTCTCATACTTCAAACAAGCTAAGAGAAAAACCACATTTGTAAAGACATTAGAGTATACAAACACTTCCACAAAAATGAGGCAGGACCTGGAAAGTTAGGTGTTCAAATTCACATCTAATTTCCCTGGGATTAAATCTAATTAAGTAGTGTCAATTTTGTTTTTTATTATGATGTATACCATTGAAGATATATGATTTTTTATTATAGCAAGCTAGTTATTTGGTCCTCCTGTAAAGCTTTATCAGCTTCTTGTTTCCCTTTAATGTTTCTTTTCAACTCACATGTATCTCTGCAAGGAAAAAGTTGTAGAAGGGGGAACAATATAAGGTACTTAAATTTCTCTGAGGCAGAAAACTTCAGGGTCTGAATTTCTGATGTTTGTGGGCCAAAACAGTGAATAAGCACCTAAAAGTGGTCTTTGGAATTTTTAATTTAAATGTTTACCACTTTATTCTGTTAGTAAATGAGATCAGGAGTAGTGATTTGATTAAATCACATATATAGCCTATAAAAGTGTTAAGCTCCTTTATCATTGTTAACACTGGGCTTCCCAAAGGCCATCGGCATCCCAAAGGCCATCTTGTCTGCTGAGGAAGCATACAAGAGCCAACCAGGAGCCATTTTCCTGCTCCTGCCCTATTTAGAGACCCTATATTTTTGTCCAGAGTTCACAGTTTAGCACAAAGATGTCCTCAGTTATTTAAGCTCATTTTGACTGTATCCTGAAATCCCAAGTGAAAATAGTTTATCCCAAATTGGCCCAAAAGAAAAACAAATCACACTGAAAAGAAACAATTTCTTGTTGTTTGGACTGCTAAATTACATATATGTGAACAACTTTAGAAAACAAGGCAAATGTTCAAGGTTTTAAATTATTTCACTCTTAAAAGAGTACTTTTTAAAAAGTGCTTTTCTTCAGTACACATTAAAGCAAACATAAGAAGGACTGATCAGTGCTCCAGTTGGTGGAGAAAACAGCTTAGAGATACGTTAGCTCCCTGCTAAGCTTTTGGGACCCATCAGAACTGTATTTCCATAATTGTAAAATTGACTGTAAGCTAAAATCTCTTTAATCATCTTTGTATTTCCAATTTGCCTATGTAGGTAAAGGCAGATTGATAGTGTACAATGCATGTTAGTAATGGCCATGTTAGCAATGGCCATAGAATATGATTCTAGTTTGACTAGAATCTGTATACACCTAAGACAAAGAAGGAAATGTCAAAGGAGACGATTATTTTATGTTAGGAACATACCATAAAACAATTAGTCTTTCCAGGAAAATTAAACAGGGATTTTTATGAAGTCTGAAGCTGAACATTTATGAAGTTTCAGAAGCCCACACTGAAGAATCCTCTAACCCTACCTTTTCAACTTATTTTGAGACATAATAATTCAGAAAATATTTTTAACAAACTGATCAATCCTTTATTTCAAATTTTCTTACATTAGATTTGATCAAACTTATTAGGAATTTGAGGTAATATACCAAATGTCTGACTCATGATTGAGTGCATGTGAAAACCAGGCTGTGCTCAATTAAAAAGCAAAACAAACTGTAACTCAAAGGATTGTACCAGAAGGGAATCAACATGGTTTTATAATAGATGTTAATGTTAACTGATGGCCCAGGCTATATGATCAGGTGAAACCCTTTTAGCGTTACATCTTGCAAAAGATTTGTCCATTAAATAAAGGAACTAAAATGGTTTTCTTTTATGAGTGCTGAAATATTTTGATAAGCCTACCAGAAATGAGAGTTTTTCTCTATAGACATATTTTAGTATACTCTGTAATCCATTCCACATGAAAATACAGAACAAAGGTAAAATTTTAAACAAAATACAAATTCTAGTACTCAAGAAAAAAGCTGAGTGAGATGAATGGAAGAGTTGTCTATTTTAACATGGAACTTATTGCCACTAGCCATATCTCCTTTAATATAAGATCTATGGGTAAGAAAATTCCAATTTAATGATATTCAAATATATAAATATTAGTTGCATCCTCAGGTTTCTAGTTATGTGTTAAAAAAATAACATGAGGCCGGGCACGGTGGCTCAAGCCTGTAATCCCAGCACTTTGGGAGGCCGAGACGGGTGGATCACGAGGTCAGGAGATCGAGACCATCCTGGCTAACACGGTGAAACCACGTCTCTACTAAGAAATACAAAAAACTAGCCGGGCGAGGTGGTGGGCGCCTGTAGTCCCAGCTACTCGGGAGGCTGAGGCCGGAGAATGGCGTGAACCCGGGAGGCGGAGCTTGCAGTGAGCTGAGATCCGGCCACTGCACTCCAGCCTGGGCGACAGAGCGAGACTCCGTCTCAAAAAAAAAAAAAAAAAAAACATGATATGTTGAAACCTCTTCAATTTTAGAAGAACCTTGTTATAAAGAACAGAGCTAAAAATGTTAGAACCACCTGCCCTTTAGTGTAACAAAATAAACTAGCCTTTTTGGTTTACTTAATTATAGTCTTACCATCAAAAATATATTCTCTAACTTAAAAAAATACTTTTTTGGTAATATTTGATGACATTTCTGATGAGAGCACATAAAAATAAAACAATACTTAAAGATGTATACATAAAATGCTCAAGGAATCGTCATTTAAAAACAGACGGTTCCCTTACTGTTTCTTTTCATGTCGAGAAACAGGGTTTTTTTTTTTCACACAGTCTCTGTAGCTCCTAGGAATTTCATTTCTACGGCAGCTTTTGCCCTGTGGGCTGAGCCACTCTTCTTTTGGAATTCTGCAGCAATTTCCTCAAAAGACTTTCCTTTGGTTTCTGGAACTTTAAAAAATGTAAACAGGGTAAAGGCCAGGAGCACTCCAGCAAAGAGGAAAAACACATAAGGTCCACAGAAGTCCTGGATAGAAAGCAAACACAGACTTCCAGTTAGCAGTTGTTTGACCCTCTCTTCTGTTCAGTAAATCTGTGAAATATTAGGCTGCTTACCGCAATGTACTGGAAACACAGAGCTACAATGAAATTGCAGGTCCAGTTGCTGAATGCAGCTATTGCTAAAGCAGCAGGACGTGGTCCTTGACTGAAAAACTCAGCCACCATGAACCAGGGGATCGGGCCTGGCCCAATTTCAAAGAAGCTGACAAAGAGGAAGATGGCTATCATGCTCACATAACTCATCCAAGAGAACTTATTCTGAGGAAAAAAACAAAAACAATAGTGGGACTGAGATCATTAGCTGCTTTTTCCTTTAGCTAAGTAGCCTCTGAGTTCAGAGGCAGGCATACATCTTTTTCTAATGTGTTTTGTTCAAGCAAGTCTAAGTTATTCTAGTCTGAGAGAAATTGTTCTAGTCTGAATCATGCTTAACTCTTTAGACTTAGATTTCTTATAAGGAAATCCTCTGGATTAGGATTTTCCTGGGAAAGAGGCAGGGCAAGGATCCAGTGACCTTTGCTCCTACTCATACAAGGTTTCCAGACAAGATGTATAGCTTCCTGTGAAGTAGTAGATGAGAATGCCAGGAGGGCAGAGGTTCAGGTACATGCCCAAGGTCACACAGGAAGCCATGTGGCAGAGTCAGCATTAAAACCCAGTTGGTGGTGAATCCAGAGCCTATGCTCTAACCATGGGTACATGGCCTCCCTGGATGTCAACCAGAATTTACATGCTGATATTCAGCCTTAAACCCAAGAAATTAGTTCATCTTTTCTTTATGTATCTCCTTTGATTTTATGCTGTTGCTCTGGCTTTATTTCATAAGTCAGTCTCAAATATTTTTGAATACAAAGCACTTTTACCTGGACCACAGAGGTGCCAGGTACCATCATATGTTAATGAAAAACCTCAGTGTAGGCACCAAACTTACCAGCAGCACAAGTCCCACTGACATGAAGATGGCACAAACAAACATCCCACTCATTCCAATTAGAAAGAGAGAACGTCGCCCTGCCTTCTCCACAAGGAATACCTAGGACAGTTTTAAAGAAGATTATCTCAGTTTTGTGAGTCACAAAATATTGACTGTTTACTTAAATCATTTTTACTGCCAAAGAGGTCATTTTAATTTATATAACAGATAGGAAGCAATTCCACCCTTCCATTTTACAGGAGTGAGATCGAGGTGGGAAGTGACTGCCCCAGGTGGCAGAGCTAGTCTCAGTGGACAGCGGGTAATGATCAAATATCCGCTTAATTTAGTCACATTGGTTTGAATAGGCCATTATAGAGATAGAAACATAGTGTTACCACTACTCCAGGATTATCACTTTGGGTACAATATTCAGAGACTGTACAGCTGGGGTCTCTCCCAGTAGATGTCCTGTACATTTAAAATGTGAAGGTTCCACATTTAAACATGACATTAACTTCTTTTCTGATAACTATCCTAAGTTATAATTACAAGGGTCTGTGCACTACTGACACCGGAAACAGTACAGCTGTTCAGGTGTCAATAGTCTCGTCCAATTTTCTCACTGCTTAATAAAGTCCTATTATGACCACTCACCTGGCAACATATGGAATTTGATAATTGTACCAAAATAGGCCTGCATTTTTCTGTGTATGCTTAATTGTATCTTTTGCCAGGAGTGAACTATTCATCTTAAAAGTTAGGACTTTAAAGCAAAGGGTTAAAATGCTTTCTTATCTTAACTGAGGAGATACGTCACTGATTCCTTTAGTTTTGTGGACCTTTGCATTAATGGTTAAGATTTACAATTAGCCAAGACCAGAGTTTGTTATACTCTTGCCTGATCCTTGGAATATTACCAAGACTGGTGAGTCACTCTCCCTCTCACCCCCCACAAAACTTCCTGTCATAATTTCTCACTTTGGCGCCTGGTGAGCAAATTGTCTGGCTCATCAGCCTATCAGTAAATCAATAACAATCCAATGTCTTTAGTATAGTGAGCTCTGGTTCTGAAGATATCTTAGAAACATTTCAGCTACAGTGAAAGCCTGTTTCTCAGAGGTACGCTCATATCAGAGTTTTAAATCACTTCAGATAGGATGATAAGCAAAGAGCACATATTTAATTGAGAAGGAAGTTGGAAAAAAACAGACTTTTCTCAAGTTCATTAAATATCTCTTTATAACTCTTTTATTATGATGTTCAAAACTGACTTGGTGCCACCATGTCAAGCTACCAAGAAAATAGAAGCATTTCTTTGTGAATAAGCTCCTTTACTATAAACTCTGAAACTGCACGTCTTGAAAATTGAGTTGGCCTCTGTCCCTGAGGCCCGGTGTGCACTCAGGATGAGTGTGACAAGGGGTGAGACATGGTCAGTGGCTGGAGATAGCTGCCCAGTCAGAACCCTCATCTTTGCCACAGTGCCTCACACAAATCCTGGGCGCTTAGTTGCAATTTGGTAGTCACTGCTTCTCTCTCAGTGTCATCCTGCCTTCTAGTTCCCTGCATTTTTCTTTCTGCTTTTTTTTCTGTCAAGATTACAGGCCCTCTTCTACCCTCCCGTTAGTGTGGAAGAAAATATAGGATGTGGAACACAATTAGTGTGGAGTTGGGAAAGTCTCTCTTCCCAAAAACAAATTGATGTTCTTCCAATTTGGTGAAACATTAACATATTTGGCGCATATTTCTATTTGCATATTTTTATTTGAAAATGCACACACAATTTGGTAACATTGGTTAACTTTGGGGAGAGAAACTGGATGACTGAGGGACCATCCTTTTTATACTTTATGAACTTTAAAACAGTATTTCAAAAATTAATATATTTAAACATTTTAAATGTGATCTGTAGTGCTGGAGGCTTAATTAATGATTAGGAGTGATTTTTAAAGATTATGTCACTACCCTGTTCAAAAAGTTTCACAGAATCAAAGGATGAACTCTAAAAAGGTATATTCAAAATAATTAGGACACTGTCTTAAACAACTCCTCCCACATGAGTGGAATTGGGAGCAGGGTGCAAAAATGAAACTTTACAGAGGTTTCCCCTTTAGATTTTTTCAGAATTTAGGCTACCCAATCTTGACAATTTGATGCTTTACATAGAAAATCCTATTATACACAAAATGTTTTAATAATAATCTATTATAAAAAATATGTTGAATAATTTTTAAAAATTATTCCAGGAGACAAAAGGGTGAATAGTCCCTTGGATTGCACTTCAGAAACAGGTCTTGATTGATTTAGAGTGGCCTTTTGGTTTGAACAGGCCTTATCTCTAACGGTATGTCTACAGAATCATTGGCATTTCATTATTATCTGTTTTTCCTGCTCTTTCCAAGGTCCAGCACTGTTTAATGTGGTCTGGACAAACCTGCCTTTTGATCTGGGTAGCCAGGCTGTAATTTATTGATCACCCTAAGGTAATAGTTAAGAGTTCATGTGCGGAGAATGAAAAACAAGTGACTAAATTATATTGAGTATAGCATTGTGACCAAAATTGAAAATATACTTTTTGCTATTTTTACCTTGTTGAATAAAGATAAAAATAAGCTCAATGACTCTCATTCTACAGTGAATTACATTAGTTGGGGAGTTTTTGTCTTTGTCGTTGCTTGTTTACTTCTTAGATTATTATGTTAGATATTCTTGTCAGGTTCTTATATATTAAGAATATATCTTATGTATTCTTACATAAGAATATATATATTTATATTATATATATTTTATATTATATATACATATATATATTTCCCACATAATAATGAAATGCCATGTTCTTATATATTAAGAATCTATAAGATATATATGTCTTACATATTCTTAATATATATGAACCATCACTTCCTATGTATTCTTAATATATAAGAACCATCACTTCCTATATATTCTTAATATATAGAAACCATCATTTCCTATATATTCTCAATATATAAGAACCATCACTTCTTATAGAAAGTTATTTGGTTTTAAGAAGAGTATATGACCTTTTGTTGTTGTTGGAAGAAAGCAATAACATTTCTAGTTACGCTGTCACTTCCCTCATAATATCACACATACTCTCATGCATCACCAGAAGCCACAACTTTGTGAACTACTTGGAAGCTCTCTGCCCAATGACTTAATACCATTTGCTGAGTCTGCTTAACTTTGCTTAAAGGGTTAAATGTCTGTTAGAGAGGGCCTTGTTTGTTTATTTTTATATGTTTCCCCCAGGAAAAATATGTTTCCCCCAAAACATATTTTTATATGTTTTCCCCCATGGTAAAAAAAGAATTTGAACTATGTAAAAAGAGGAATCTAAGTAGACCATCCAATATCAATAGAAATGACAAGCTGTCAGCTACTCCCAAGGGGTTTATGTACAGAGAAAAGAAGGAACCTAGGAATCTGCACAAGGAAGAAGTTCTCTGTGCCCCCAAGTGAGTTACAAATTCACAAATGAGTGACTAAATGGCATCCCAGCAGTGCAGAGAACCAGTGATTCACCCTCTCAGTTATGCCTAATCTCATTGCAGTGGTTGGCTTATTCAAACAGGACTCTTCTCATGACTCACTTGGGTTTACACACTTAGAGCATGTGTACAATGTCATTGATTGCTTTTAGAGCCCAAGTTCCCCCCGCCACACACATGCAATTTCTGGACTAAGGAACAAGCGGAGTATTTATCTAGAGCGTTGACTTACAGAGACAGCAGTGAAAACCATGTTTACAGCACCAACTCCAATGGTTGCATAAACAGGTTTGCTGATACCAGCCGTCTGAAAAATGCTGGTTGAGTAGTAAAAAATCTGCAAAGTAAAAACAGTTTAGCCTTAATCTTAAGAAGTCTGGCACTGATGTCTTTAAAGCAAGAAATATTTTAGATTGTTTATTTTTAGTTGTTTCTATGGCGCCATGCTCCCTAGAACTTCCTACAGATTTTCTTCTTCCAAGGAAGAGAACCCTCAGCCTTCCTTTAGTGTTTAAAGCTTCTGATTGCTTAAATGTCCTCCTTATATTTGGCTGAGAATTCTGCTACTGCATTTTCTTTATTTTTGTAAATACATTGAAACATTTTGTTAAAGTATAATATACATAGAAAAGTACACATAAATATGCAGCTTAATAAATTTTCACAAACTGAACACACCTATGTAACTAGCACTGAGATCAAGAGATAAATAATTTCCACCCCTCCGGAAGCATCTTAAATCTCCCTTTATCATTTATCTCAAGGAAACCATTCTTCCAACTCCTGACATCATAGATAAATTTTGCCTACTTTTGTACTTGATGTGAATGGAACCACATAATATGTATCATTTTGTGCCTGGCTTCTTTTATTCAACATTACCTTTGTGAGAATCATCCTTATTGTACATTGTAGACAGTTCATGATCATTACTATGTAGTATTTTATTGTATTAATATACCATGATTTACTACGATTCTATTGATGAGTGTTTAGGTAGCTGCCATTCCTAAATGAATAATTTACTATTCTTTAGGCTATCAGAAATCCTAAATTCAATACTCAACTCTAGAAGCCACTTGCAATTTAGTTTTTTTTTTTTGGGGGGGAGGTGTGGGCGGGGGGTTCAGGTGTAATTGTTCTTTTTCCCTCCTTGTATTTATTGTGATTTTTGCCTTTTGCCTTTTGCCTTAATATTAAATAGACATTTAGTACCATTGACTGTTGACAGTTAAAAAAATTGTATTTTTAGAAAACTTTTGAAGCAAAATGAAAGTTAATGCTTACTCAATATATGTTTGTTGTAGCAAGACACATGATGTCAACATTTTTAAATGTCTTTTAGCTATTGATTATGAATAGTGACTATGAATAGTGCTGCTAGGAACATTCTAGTACAATCCTTGTGGTGGAATATGTATGCGTTTATAACTAGGAATAGAATTGCTGGACCATGGTGTAGGCATATACTCAACTTTGATAGATATTGCCAAATAGTTTTTGAAAGAAGTTATGACAATTTTACAGTCTCACCAGCATGTGTAAGAGATCTAGTTGCTATTGCATTTAATCCAGAAAATTTCACTGGTCTCAGTAGACATGGAGAAATTTTGTTTACAACTTTTCTAATAACCTTTTAAAATTTAGTTATGTTTAGATATTTATGTCTTTTAGGTCATTCTGTTATCCATTATCCTTTGTCATTCCTTCCCCACCTAACATGTCCTGCTGCTGGTACCTCTTCCCGCAGACAGGACTGAGGTAGAGGACTGTGCCAACTGTGTTCAGTGCATAGAGGCCTACAGCACACTTCACACTATCCCACCATTTTTAGGCTGCCCAACAGCCTCAGGTTCAACATTTCCTGGATTCCTCTTTAAGTCAGGCACTGGGATGGAAGCTGAAACAGTAAGGTTCAGAGAAATTAAATTTTGTGCCATTGAATATACAGACAGAACTGAGATAGGAGATATGATTTTGGTCTCTGAGCCTCAAAGTTATACAGATTATTAATAAAGATAAACATCAAGGACCTCTTAAAGGAGGACGGAGACCACAGTTGAGTTTGTGGAGTGAGGTTCAGGTCTCATTTTGTTTCAATGGATGGGAATTACTTCCTTTGCCTCTCCCAAGTGTTTGCCCATATCTCAGTCACCCACAAAGTGTCCCATGTGGATTTGGCATTGGCTCACTACAGCAAATGTCCAATTTACATTTTTAACAGCAACAAAAGGGGAGAAGTGTTTTTTGTTTGTTTTGTTTTTTATCTAGTGTCTTGACAAATGCTTAATTTTTTCCTCTAGTAGTTAATTGCCAGTAGAACCATCTTAGTCTGCATGATGCGGGGGTTTCAATGTAAGACCTAAAAGCTAGCTAGTTTAATGGTCAGTATGTTTTTCAATCATGTATTGTCTACTACCCTTAGTCACCAATAGCATGCCAGTTTACTGTATTATTTATTTTGTGTGCTATCTCCTCAAATGGAGTGAGAGTTTCTTGGATGGCAGGAAACTGCTCTTTGCACCTGGCTATCTGGTATACTTCATTTAAACAGATGAAAGGAACCATGGATTCTGTTTGACTTGGGTTATCAGAAATCCTAATTTCAATACTCAACTGTAGAAGCTCCTTGCAGTTTTTTTGGGGAGGGTTGTATAATTATTCTCCTTTTCTCTCCTTGGATGTATTAAGATTTTTGCTTTTTGCCTTCACCTTAAGAGATATACAGTACCATTGACTGTTGACATTTAAAAAAATTGTTAAGTAATTTTAGAAAACTTTTGAAGCAAAATGAAAATTAATGCCCAATGTACGTTTGTTGTAGCAAGACCCATGATGCCAATACCTTAAAATATCTTTTAGCTATTTAAACTTGTACCCCTTGTCTTCCCTGTTTTAATTCACTGTGCTCTTAAGAATTAGTGGGTGTTCTTAAATTTACCCCATTGATTCCAGAAAATTGCTGAGCTATGTGCAGCAACAGTGCCACTAGAATAGGCTGTCGGTAGCTGGAATTGGTGAAGAGCTGAATTATAGAGACTTTCTGCTCACTTGATGCTTCTTCTTTTTCTTTTCTCATTTCATTAATATCTTTGGTGACATCATCATATCCTCTGAGTCTTTTCAAGCCTGTGCCGGGAAATGATCGGGTTGAAACAACTCAAGTCAAAACAAAAAGAAATTTATTTTTATGTTAATGAAAGAGCTACATTTCTGCATGCCCCGTTCTATTACTTAATAGCATGGGTGTTGGAAATTCTTTTTTTGTTAAATCCTGCTCTTTGATTTAAAAGAAAAACGGAACATTTGGCTTCATCTTATGACAAATACAACTAGATCCTCATTATGTTAGAAGCATAATGCTGGAGGGATCTTTGAGAAACCTCTGGCTGAGTCTAATACCCTGTATATGGATTTCTGGTTTCGGTTAACTGAATGCCTACGGGTGCCAAATGACATGCACTAGTCATACAAAAGCGATTTTGCACATTCTTCTTACATTTAATCACTAGCTTCATGTGGAAGGCACTGTTTTACATTATATAACACACTGTTTTACATGAGCTGATAACGCTCAAACAGTAGGAAGAAAGAAGAACCATCCACAGACTTACTTTGCTTTGCTTTGACTTCCTCATCTAACTTGATGTAAAGGTACCTGGGACTTTCTGGACAGAAAAAGAGTAGCAGAGACTGAAGGATGGCTCGTACACCAGACAGGCCAAACAGGATGTGCCACAGATCATAATTGCCCAAGATAAATTCAAGACCAACAATCTGAAAATGCAAAGAGGACGCATATCAACTACATAATACTTTGGATCTACCTTTTACACCAATTTGTTGAAAAAGTACTTTGACTATTTAATAGTAGTCTCTGACAACTTTGGAAACTATTAACTATCGTGTCTCACTTTAACTAAATTAGGAACTATTTGCTATATAAGGAATTAACCTAGGTTCATTTTCATCAACTCCAGTTGGACAGTCAGGATGAGAATCAACCAAGCTTAAACAAAAATATATACTTGATATCTAAAGCAACACGTAGCTGTATTCTCCAGGCAACCAGATAGAATCTGGTTGTGCTAAAATCAGCCATGACTTTGGACCTTTGCTTGGTATTTCCTTCTTATATGACGCAGAACTTAAATAGAAAGGGGTTCCATAGATAGAACAATTACTGTGATGAGAACTATCTTGGTGATTCCTATGGCAATAGTTTATAGACTACCCTCTGGATTGTCATAGGCGTGGGGTCCCAGACTCCCTCTGATACCATAGGGTAGAAGGGAAGTATAGACTCAAATGAACAGGAGCTCCTGTGGCAATGACTTACATATTAGATTCCCAAGTAAGATGTTTAAAACAAAGGCAACCCAGGCAATCCAATCCTTGAAGTTTTCTATTTCTTATAATCTAAATGGAATAGTTTAACTCTAGAATAGCTCTGAAGTTAAGACCTGGCTTGCCAGGTCACCTCCAGTACTATCCCACCAACAATTCCAAGGGGAAAAGTGATGAGTGATAATAATTTACCTTTGAGTGAAAAAGTCTATGTCTCTACACCACCTCCGCTACCACTGGTAGAACTGGCTTCTCTTTCTGTGCTGGTCTATAGTGAGAGTGGACAGTCAGAGAGGGAGAAGATGAATGAAGTGGAGGAAGTACAGTAGGGGATGCAATAGTAGTAGTGGTACTGCAGAGGATGAAGTAGATGGGTGCAGTAGGGGATAAGGATGGGGAGTTTTTACCTGACTAATAAGAATGCCCGTGACAATGGCCAGCTGATGAAAAGTGCCAAGTGCGCCCCTGAGAGTGGTTGGAGCAATTTCACCAATATACATGGGCACCAGGCCTGAAATTAGCCCTGCATGAAACATGAACATAAATGTTAAAGTGCAACCAGGACTGTCTCAATAACAACAATTTGATTTAAGTACAGTATATATCTTGAATAAAAGCCCCTCCCTGAGTTCACTGGAAGGATGAACCCTTGTTCCTAGGTATAGACATAGTTTGTGCAAGAGATATTTGATATGACCCCAAATGTAGTTGTAGTTGGAAATATGAATAGAAAGAAATGGTTAGTCATGTATTTGGCAGTTCTTCATTACATCATCTTATTTAATTAAAATTCATGTTAATTTTTAGTTTACATCATAATGCCTTAGGTTGTCTTCAGAAAAGAAATTGAAGAATGTTTTAATAATATTCTTAATCAGGGCTCATGAGATTAAAGGAAATCAGAACGTATCTCCACCAGCCTCTTGATAGATGTGAGAAACAGCTTGCCAAAGATCACAAGCAACAGAGCATTAGTGTGAGAACAATATGCCCTAACTGAATTTCCACAATGTAGAGGGGTTGATGATGAGGGGGAAGGGGAGGTGCAGAGAGGTAGAAGAGGTTAAGGATCTTATGGACTCTTCCCCAGTTAGAAACCAGAGAAACTCAGCTCCTGTATTCTATTCAAATATTAGGCCTCAGAAAAAATTATATTTGAAGAAAGACTTTTGGTACTTAAATGAATACAGAGCATTTGAAAGCACTAGGTCATTCTGCCTTCTGAAGCTTTCTTAAATGCACATGTAATCAGTTGTGCTGGAAATGGAGTGTCCAGCCATTTGCTGATTGCATAAAAAGTTCAGAGACTATCAATAGGCAAGGGTGAATTAAATGTTTGGCATTTTCTTAAATATTTAAAAACAGGATTTGCAGAGGCTTCTTCTTAGAAACTACCTGCCTATCAAATTGAAATGGATGATCTTTGTGTAAAAGATGCTTTGACAATTGTTTTCAAAATACATCTTTTAATGCTTCAAGTTATTCTTAATATCTCAAATGAACATTTATATGTGTGATATGGCATCTATATTTCAGCTGAATTTTACAGGTGACTTTTAATGTGTAGCCTGTTGATCTTAAATTAAAAAAATCATTTATTTGCCTCTATTCTAAGTTGTACTATCTTTCTGTAATACCTAATACTATACCTGAAAAACAGAATAATGTAGATAAGCTCACAGGTCTGAAGTCACATGAACTTGAAGTCAAATTATATTTCCTATAATTTTTAGGAACTTTAATGCTCAGAATACGGCCAAACATAATATTAGAAGATGGTTGGGGGGTTCAAGTTGGTTGACTATGCTAGTTATAGTTTGTTTTGCAATGTATTTATAGCATTTATTTTCAGTTTTACCAAAAATATTTCATAATTTTTTTCACACTGTATTTTTTTAAATGGAGGGAAAAGAAAGAAGAATCATAATTGGGACTTCATTCATAGTGTTATTATCTGCATTTTATGGGAGAAGAAACTGAGGCTCAGATTTAGTGTTTAAGGCCAAGCAGAGACAGTGCCAGAATTTATTTGCTCTGAATCCAAAGCTCTTTCCACATTTGGGGTTGACTCTTTACCTTGATAAAGCTACACTGACCTTCAGTTATTTGTATTAACATAGAAAATAATAAAAAGAGATTTAATTAGGCTGTTAACTTCGTATTTTAGACTTTTGCTTCAACTGATCATTGAAGATACATGGAATTCAAGTCTTTTCTGTAGATAAAAGTGTTAAAAATACTTTTATATACAAATCTATGTCCTCACGACTCCTTCCCCGTCCCCATGGATAGAAGTGCCTTGAAAGGCAACTATAATTTGTGAAAATGGGTTAAAATCTCAACCTAGCACCATCAAAATCAGAGCTTCATTGGCAGAAGTTAAAGATTTAGCCATTTGTTTTAGAGAGAGATTGAATGATTCTGCCTTTGTTCAGACGTCTGCTAATTAATTGCTTCTGAATGTTTGAAAAGCTGTCTCTAAAAACTAGTGATTCCCACTATTCAGAATAAAGTTCATGAGAGGAACCTCTTTCCTTTATTCTGAACTTTTAAGTATCAGCTGCTTCTGTCTGATTCCCTCTCTCTATAGACAACACCACCGTAATGCTTCACTCGGTCATGTCTAGAATCATACAGGGCTGGGGAATGTGGTCTAAGAGATGGGTTCAGAGTGTTAAGGTCTTGTCAGATAGAAGAGATGGAGACATGGCAACCAGGTATTCCATAAGGGCAGAATTAAGGGTCGTGGTATAGCAGTCTCTCACTGTCTGCTATAGCGCAGCAGTAATAACAACAGCTAGCATTTACTGGTAGCTTACTGTATGTCAGATTCTATGCGGAACATTTTACATGTGTTCTCACAATCACCCTATAAGGTAGATATTATTATCCACTTCATTTAATAAATGAAGCAACTGAGAATCAGAGCTAAATAATTTGTCTGTGATCATACAACTAGAAATGATGTCATTGCCATGGACAAGGACCTTGATAGCATCATAATTCCTACTTACTGGTCACAAACCCCCCTGACTCTGGATTTCAACTTTATGCTATTGCCTTTCCCTCTGTGATGTCACCCTAGACTCAAAAATATCCCTGAACGCTACCACATCCGCCTTTAGAGTTACTTTCAGACAAAGGTAGGGGTGTGTGTGTGTGTGTGTGTGTGTGTTTGAGAGAGAGAGAGAGAGAGACTTACCACAATATAGTCCTGATATGCTTCTTCCAGCAATTATAAGTATATGAGATGGTCCCAATTTTGAAAACCCCATCAAGAGAGCTCCAACTAATGAAAGAATGTTTGCTATTAACATGGCTTTGATTCTGAAATTTTAAAAAGCAAGGAATATAAATTCAGCATCAAAACTTGCTAGAATTATTTGCTTTCAGAGCATGTTGAGTTTTTTTTTTTTTTTTTAACTTAAGAGCAATTATTTTAATTTTGCTGTAAAACCTAGTTGGGGAATCTTGAACCAAGATTGCTAATTTGACTCATCTATGAACTAAAGTATTAGTAATAAGCAAGATTTATGATGAAAGAACCTAGGTTGCATCCACTTGATCTCTACATGTTTCTCTTTTATTTTGAGTCAGGGTCTCTCTTGCTCTGTTACTCAGGCTGGAGTGCAAAGGCACCATCATGGTTCTTTGCAGCCTTGACCTCCCAGGCTCAAGCGCAGTCTCTACATTTTGATAGAGATGATTCAATCGCGGTGATGACTAGCTTAAGATAACACTTCTGACAGTTTTTCAAAGAGTTAACTAAGTTTTCTCTAAGTTGATTGTTTTAAAGAATAATTGCCTGGTGACAGCTAAATTCAATTCTGTAGTTGTAACCTACAACTTTTTTTTTTCTTTCAGTGGCACAGGTTTTTAATTGATCTGGATAGGAAAGGAACTTTCAAAGTTAAATTTCCTTTTGTATAAATTATTTGGAAGTAATTTAAAACTTACTTTAAGCCTTATCTAGAGAATTATAATTATCCTTATTTTAATATATGCCAGCATATTTCCAAAATCTATAAATTAATAGTGACCAGTCTAAAATACATAATAGAGCTGACAGTAGCAACAAAAACACTTTCAAAATTAATCAGATGAAAATTGACAACATTTGCAGATATCCGTTCCTTTTATTTCTAATTAATGGGAAAGCAAGGTACACAGAAAACCTTTTTTTGCAATCAAAAAGATAATAGTAAGGCCAATAAATGTCTGAGTAGACAGGTGTGAAAATGTTTGTGCCAAAAGAAATGTAAACGTCCTTGTTATATTCTATTTCACTGCTTCAAACTTTGATAGGTGGGCTTTTTCTATGCAAGTGTCTTTAACACCAACAGATTTTTTTTTTTTCTGGAACATAAAGCTATAAAGTCATATACTGCAGTGATTGTCTAACATCCACGTGATAGGCTAAATCATGTCTCCCAGCAGCCTACAGCATAATCCCCAGACCCTGTAAATGTTACCTCACATAGCAAACGAGATTTTGCAGATGTGATTGAGAAACTTGAGATGGGGAGATTATCTTGAATTATTTGAGTGAATCCAGTGATGTAATCACAAGTGTCCTTATAAGAGTAAGGTAGAAGAGGAGCAGGTGATGTGATGACAGAAGTAGAGATTAGAATGTTGTGCTTCAAAGATGGAGGAAGGGGCCACAAGCCAGAGAATATAGTTGGTCACTGCAAGCTGGAAAAGGGCAAGGAATGCATTCTTCCTCAGAGCCTCCAGAAGGAACAGCCTTACTGACCTTTTGACTTTAGCTAACTAAAACTGAGTTTGGACTTTTGACTTCCAAGACTATGAGAAAACATATTTGTGTTGTTTTAAGCCACTAAATTGGGGATAATTCATTACAGCAGCAGTATGAAATGAGTATAGGGAAACAGAGTGATTTAGAGCTGGCTAGCCCCAGAGCTACAGAGTAGAAAAACAGTTAAGGGGTGGTTAGTAGTTTAGACTATTGTGAAATGCTTTTTATCTACACAGGGACAGAGGGCAGGCAAATTCAATAATTGACCTTAACCAGTTGTTACCACCTAGCTAATAGTCTCTTTTATTAGGGGAAAAAAGATAAAAAGTCATAAAAGAAATAGCCTGGAAGAATCTTGGATGCCAGATTGCCCAAAAGTCCCCTTTCCCTATCACCAAAGGATGCAGGAGCACTTTATATAATTTAAATTCTTTTAATGTCTGTTCAGATATGAGAAATGGCCACAAATAAATAATTTTAAAAATACATGAAATAGCTGAATCAGGGAAAAAGAAACTTAATTCTACCTAAGTATATTTCTTAAAATTTGACTCTAAATACTTCAGATAGTATAGGCTTCATTTTGTCGTGGTCATGGTCATTGTGGTCGTCATCATCATCATCATCATCATCAAAATGAGGCCACATTTGCTGCTTGCTTAATATATGTTAGGCATTGTTTTAAACCTTTTATATTTGTTCTCATTAAATCCTCACAATAATGCCATGAGGTAGGTATTATTTTTGTTTTCACATTGCAGATGGGAGGAAAACATTTTAGAGAACCTAATAACTTGCTTATTTTCATACAGCTATTAAGTGACAGATCTTGGACTTGATCTGTGTGAAACCAAAGGGTAATGCTTCATTTTAATGAGTTCCATTTTTGATGGAAAAGAATGCATGCATTCAAAGGCAAGCTATGCACCGCTTCCTTTACTCATGGTAGTGTGGATTGCACAGACCATAGTCTTCTCTACCATACCCTGGTAATTAAACTGTAAATGCACAGGTTGAAAAAATTGGCCTTGCAAACCCAAAACTAGAAAATGGTGGCCACAGACATCTATTGACTATTACACAATTGCAAGGAAACACTTTTTTTATAAGGCAATAATGGAAGTATTACATTTTTATTTATTTACTTTTAACTGATAGATAAATGACACTGGTAATAATGAAAATCATGTCACTTCTCAATGAATCTAGAAAGATAATTTTATAGGGGATACTGATAACTTTTTTCTTAATTTTGATGTTGAAGTTGTGAACTTTTGGGTTGCTTTTCAAGGAGGATCATTTTTCTACTAAAAGCTAGAAAAAAACTCACTTTTTGTTTATCATAGGTCATTTGATACATGGTCATTTGATATTGTTTTGAGGTATAACCATTGTTGATGCCAAATCCTAAGACTTCAGAAAGTTTGTGTATTGGCTCCATTAAGTGTTAATTAAATGTTAACACTAATTAAATGTTTTAGGTTAAGTCACTGAACTTATCAGAATCTTACCTCTAAATGAGGGGCAACCAGGTTTTACATTTTTTCTTCAGGAATGAGAAGTAGTATAAAATATCAGTAGTTGCTAAATGATTTGTTCATATTTTAAAACGTAATTTAATTTTGCTTAATTTGATTTACTTTAAAATTTTTTTAAAAATTATTTTTCCTTTTTCCTTTTGTCTGAGTCTACTTGCTAGGGAATAATTTACTTCAGAAATAAATAATTAATCTAGAGAATTCTCCACTTACTACTTAAAGCAACTTGATACACACTGAAATTATTTTTAAATTTTTTTAAATGATGAAATTCAGTTTATTAATCTGTGTTTTACAGATTCTTATTTAAAGTTCAACTGAACATCAGCAAGTTGATTAAAAGGTAAGAAACTGACCACTGTCTTTTATGGTGGATAAAACGCCATTTCAAATAAAAATAATAATACAACTTGGGTTACCATGATATTGTAGTTAAGAAAACTTATAGTCATATTATATAAAAGCTCCAGTATAAGAGGAAGAGTTATCAGAATTTTAATAGAGAGCTAAAATTATAATTTATAATAAGAATTTAAAAATCTAAGTGAATTGTAATTCAGAATTATTAAACTAGTTGCCTAAATTGTTATTTACATCTTTAAAGGCATTTTCATTTTTCTAAATTTTTCATATATTATTTTTATGAGAAAAAAGGTAATGTGCAAAAGGTGGGCTCAAATAGGAGAAAAAATAAATCTAAAAAATAATCATTTGATACTCTGGTTTTATTTCCTCTCTATATAGGGTAGGAAATTCCAACAGCTGTAGTACATTGCATGAATAAGTAAAATTTGAGGGTAAAGGAGTTCCACTGATATTTTTAATCCAAAAAACCTAACAGACACCCAAGTGATAAATGGTGGTATCTCTTGCCTCATCTCTGGTTGGGGCTTTGAGATAGCAAGCAGGACCAGCAGCCAGAAACCACATACCAAGTACATTGGGCAACTGGGAGTTGGGGATATTGACTGAACCTTTGTACTTGACTGATCCAAATGCCAAATTCTAATTTAAAAAGGGAAAACTGGATGTTTGAGAAACAGTGTGATTTGGTGAAACAAACAGTGGACTCCCAGGTTAAAAACTCTAGTCTCTTCTGCTGAGTTCCTGAGTTAACCGTTTGTGTAGTGGTCTCCTAGTATATTTTATAAATTACAAAGCTAGAGGATCAAAGCAATTATCTAGAAATACACACAGAAATCACGTTTGGTATAAATGTCCGAACAATTAATCAAACTTTCATTGATTTGATCTAACACTGATATGCCTCATAGGGTCATGAGTTGAAAAAACAACTCTAACGCTGTTCCGCAAGAAGAAAGATAGTATTTTTCTAAACAAATGTTAAGAAAATGAAAATACGCAAGTTTCTGTTTATGCTTATTTATGAAATTTGCCTACCTTCCAAGTGTGTCCCCAAGCCACCCACCAAAGAATGATGCAATCATTCCACCAACTGCAAAGCTGGATACAGACAGGGACCAGAGCATAGTGATTAGTTGAGCAGCTGCTACAGTCTCTTCCTCAGCCCAAGGAGTTGGTTTTGGGTTCATTGAGTATGCAATTGTGGGCAGTTCATCTGTACTGTTGGTAACATAGTTGTTGATAGCTTTTCGGTCATCCACTGGAACACCCAAAACATGTCTATAGTGAGATATTATTATCTAGGAGATAAAGAAAAATAGCTTTACTATTTCAAGCATTCTATGTATTTTTGTTTGTTTTGTCTTTAAAGTGTTTGTTACGTGTTTAAATAGTACCATCTCAATTATGTGTTTTATATACATATAAACATGGATAGATTTGTTTACAATTGGCCATATCCTATAAAATAGACGTTATAAATTCCATTGCCAACAAGAACCAGGCAGGAACAAATAAATGAAGGGAACATGTAGTACTTTGATGACTGGGAGACTAAAATACATTTTCCACTATTTGGGACTAATACGGAATGGTCAGGATTGTAGAACTGGAGAGCAGAAGGAAGCTGCAAATGTGAAACTGGTGCTGGATGACCTTTAATTTTTTAACAGAAAGTCAGAAATCTGAATTTTTATGTAAAATTTTTCAAGTTTTTTATATTGGCAACTATTGAAATGGAAACTATTCTGCAGGGTAGGCTGGGCATGGTGGCTCACACCTATAATCTCAGCACTTTGGGAGACCGAGGTGGGTGGATTGCTTGAGCTCAGGAGTTTGAGACCAGGCTGGGCAACATGGTGAAACCCCGTCTCTACGAAAAATACTAAAAATTACCCAGGCATGGTGGCACACGCCTGTAGTCCCAGCTACCTGGGGGGCTGAAGTGGGAAGATTGCTTGAGCCTGGGAAGTTGAGGCTGCAGTGAGTCAAGTTGGAGCCACTGCACTCCAGCCTGGGTGACAAAGTAAGACCTGGGTCTCAAAAAATATATATATTCTGCAAGCTAAAAAGATACATTTTCATGCTAGTATTACTTCTGCACAGCAGGATTTAAATTGACATATACATATCTTAACAGAATCATAAAAGTGGATATAAGAAAAAAGACTGGAAAAGTTAAGATGAGGGTCAAAAATAAAGTTAGCATACAGAATTCAAACACTAGGTGGTATATCTTTGTTGGAAGTGAGCTATAAATTTACCAGTAAACTTCCTAGCCACCAGGGCAAAGAGAGGAAAACAACCAGGTATATTATTGATGAATTCCTAAGATAACAATAACTTAGTGGCCCTTGAGAAGGCATTGAGACCTGAAGGAAGTTTCTCCTGTGGGTCCTCATAGAGTTAAGTTTGTAACAGAATGAACAACATTGAAAACTAAATTTCATGGAGCCATATTTTGTAATGTGCTTCATATAATTCAGATGAATTATAGGACATGGGAGGAAGATGGCCTCATCTTCCTCTCAATGATGATTTGGTCACTATTTAGCGTCAGTGAGCTGGGAGGGTACTCTCTGTAAAGGACCTGGAATGCAGCTGCTCTGGGTGACTAGTTATGGGCAAAGACCTATTTGGTAATGCCAGCTGAGTGAAGTGAATAATTGAGCATCCTCTTATAAAAGAATTCTGATCAAGACATTTGCCTCAGGCCGGGTACCGTAGCTCACGCCTGTAATCTAGCACTTTGGGAGGCTGAGGTGTGCGGATCACTTGGGGTCAGGAGTTCGAGACCAGCCTAGCCAATGTAGTGAAACCCTGTCTCTACTAAAAATACAATAAATTAGCCAAGCATTGTGGCTGGAGCCTGTAATCTCAGCTGCTCAGGAGGCTGAGGCAGGAGAATCACTTGAACTCAGGAGGCAAAGGTTGAAGTGAAAATCTCCAGCCTGGACAATAGAGCGAGACTTTGTCTCAAAAAACTAAAACAAAAACATTTGCCTCACTAGAAGGCTGCCTTATATGAATAATATGCATAGAAAAAAAAGGCTGGAAGGAAATATCCAAAATGTTCTCAGCAGTTTGCTCATTCTGGTAGAATAATTATGAGTATTTTTTTTTCTAATACTGTCTTCAGTAGGCATGTGTAATTGTCATAACCATACGAAAGTGTGATTTTAAAATCCTTTCAAATAATCCTAAATGTCATTCAGCTGATAAAAAAGGGCTTAAAAATCTCTTATTTAATGGTGTTTCAGCAGCAATTTAAACACAAAAGGAAGGGCCTGTATATAGAGAGAGCACTAACTTGGATGCCAGCATGGGGATCGCTGTTTTCAGCTCTGGCTCTGGGACTTCGATTGAAGGATGTGAAACCTTAGCCTAAGCTTCCCTTTAAGACTGGAGGGAATGGTTTAATTTTTAAAAATTTTTAAAATTTTTATTTATTATTATTATTTTGAGATGGAGTTTCGCTCTTGTTCCCCAGGCTGGAGTGCAATGGTGCAATCTCGGCTCATTGCAACCTCTGCCTCCCAGGTTCAAGTGATTCTCCTGCCTCAGCCTCCCGAGTAGCTGGGATTACAGGCATGTGCCACCATGCTGGGCTAATTTTGTATTTTTAGTAGAGCCAAGGTTTCTCCATGTTGGTCAGGCTGGTCTTGAACTTCTGACCTCCGGTGATCCGCCCGCCTCAGCCTCCCAAAGTGCTGGGATTTCAGGTGTAAGCCATTGAGCCCGGCCAGGGATGGTTTAATTAATGATGTGATAAAGTCTTCCACAAAAAGAGAAGGGGCTCTATTAATCAAGTCATGGTGATGTTGAGTGTTAAATTGTTAAATGATGTTAAATTCCTGGAAACCTGCTAAATTGGCATGTGTTGTCATCACCCACACAAAAGAGATATGACCCTCGTCTCTTGATCCCCAGCACTATGCCCTGGATCTCTTAGCCTGCCACACTCCTGATGATTGTGGCACCTAATCGGAGCACATCTTTCAGTAGGAAGCAGCCCTTTTCAGGTGATGGAATATGGTCAGCGCGTATTTCACATATCCACACCCTGCAGTATCTTTCATTTTCCTTGGGGCCCGATGTTCTAAAAGAAGCAGAGGAAATATAATGGACTTATAGAAGGCATCCAAACAATGTTTGTACCTTCACTTTATGCCACCTCTTCCCCAAGTTCCTCTTCTCTCTTTCATTAATTCACTCCTCTTTATTGAGTACCTTCTTTATGCCAACTACTGTGCTTGGCACCAGTGATAGGAAGAGGAACAATTCATTAGTCCTGCCCTCAATGACCTCACAGTCTAGTTAGAGCAGAGGGGAATGAAGTCCTGGTTCTCCAACTTATGGGCTGTGGGAACTGAGAATAACATACCTCTCCCGTGTATTCATTAAATACCAGAATAAGGATGCACAAAATATATGAGAAAAATGGTTGAAATAACTTGATTAAAAATTCACCCAAAGAGTGATCATGGAGAAAATCCAAACTTTGTTGAACTTCTTGAATATTATTCTAAAGTTTTATATTACTTTACTTTGGATCACTTATTGAAGACAGGAATGGTGGAGGAAGGACCATAATCTCTTTTAGTTTAGGGCTTCTTAAGGTTTTAATATAGACTGGAAATGGGCATAATAAGGTTGTTGGGAGGATCCAGTTGGGGAGATCATATGTTAAAGTACCTGATGCAAATAAGCAGGTGCTCAAAAAATGTGCCCTGAGTGAAACATCCTTATTCCCTGGCACTTTTCATTCATGTATGCCTGAGAGCTCTGAATGAATGTTGCAATGAGCTCTCTTTTTTTTTTTTTTTTTGAAGTTTCCTTCAGCACATGATATTCTGCCTGGAGTTTTCTGTGAGCTCAGCAAATAGCATAGTCAGAGATTAAGAATTATTTATTGCCTCCTTTTTTTCCCCCCCGTGATTGTTAATTGAGGAGTCAAGGCCAAGTTATCAGCTTTGGAACAGTGCACATCGTACCTGACAGGCCAGGATGACCTTGTGTCTCCCACGTGGACACCTTTTATCTCTGTGTATGAGGAACATATGATATCTATCACTGACAGAACTTGCCAAAAAGAGAACTTGTACATATTTCACTTGCCTGTTGAGGTGCATTGATCACACCAATGTCATATCCAAACTGGAAGGAACCCAGCACAGCGGTGATGACAGTGAAAACCAGGGTCCCAGTGACCTGCAGCGGGAGAGACACAGGGCAGGGAAACACCAAGCAATTTTAGTTTCCCATCTTTCTGCAAGGCTGCAGCTTGAACTTCTTACAGGCTCCATAGGCTGGTTCTTTCCCCTCAGTATGGATTTGCAGTATGCCCTGTGCTCCAGGCTGGCAGGTGGTGTTCATACAAGAATGTGAGAGCCATTCATCATTTCCCCTATGCTGCTAAAACTCAAAGAAGTTTGGGACAGCTTCTTCCAGGGGAGGAAAAAAACATTCTTTTCCATATATGTGTATGAGAATAACATACCTCTCCTGTCTATTCACTGGATACCAGAATAGGGATGTATAAAATATGAGAAAAATCATTGAAATTACTTGATTAAAAAAATCCACCCAAATAGTCATCATGCAGAAAATCCAAACTTTGTTGTTTTATATATATATATTTGTTGATATATATATGTTGAGATACATATATATATATTCAGAATCAGGACTGAGAACTAGAATAGCTGCTGACGGAAAGGAGCCACCAAGGTAGAGCCATTATATCATTGGGAGCAGTAAAATAAAGACAGCAGTAATAAAGAGATGGGGAGCTCTTTTGGACATTGACATGGTGACAAAAACACCTCAATACTCATATAAGAGGCATTAGCCTTTATCATGTTCTGCATCAACATCCAGGGAAGGCTACTTTTCAGGATTTGTATCTAGTTCAGCCTAGAGTTGTAGGATAAGGGCCATTATTTTCTCCCCAACTCCATGTAGCTACAATGAAACTGTGTAGAAAAGGGGCAGAACATTCATCCCCATGAACTCATGTGATAGCAAAATTGTAGAAAGAACCTAAATATTGTTCAATGGGGAATAGTCAAATAGATTCAGATACATCATAACACATACATCAGATACATACCATATGCTATGCAGCAGTTCAAAGGAATAATATGATCATGTGTACTGACTTATAAGTGGCGAAGGAAGTTATGTAATCTAACTTTTTTTTAAAGGCTTAAACATGAGTTTAATTGTTTGATTTAAAAAATAAAACAGTTATTTGATTTGTGTATGGTGTATATAATTCATAGAATGTTTTCTTGAAGAATAAATGAGTTGATGGTCCTTGAGGAGGAATGTGAGGTTGGAGAAGGAGAGTGAAGGAAATTTTTTCTTGTATTCATATGATTAGACATTTCGTAAGGAAAATATTTCATGTACATTTACATAATTTAATTTTTTTTAAAAGCTTGGGATATAGCAGGAACTTTGTTGTGTAAATGAATGAGTCACATCAACATGGATTCCAGTTCTCACTCTCTTAGTGGGTATATGACCCAAGCCACTTCCCTTATAGGAGCTTCAGTTTTTCTCTAAATTTTAGGGTGATACTAAATCCCCCTATCCTGGTATAAAGCCCCAGTATAAAGAATAGCAAATTAGCCAGGACCCCTCATTACCCTGAAAAGCTGGAGATCAGAAGCTTTACAAAGTATTATCACAGAACCACCCTGGGAGTCCATGAAATTATTTAGTCCAGTAGTTCTAAAACCAGACCCTACTTGGAGAGCCTGTTACACATGTAGCTTCTTGGAGACAGCCCCAGACCTTCTACTGGATTAGAATCTCTGGGGCAGGGATGAGGAATCTGTAGGTTTACAAGGCTTCCACCCCTTTCACTAATATTGCGGATATCTATACAGACTTTCCCTCCTAACACTTCCTTCTCTGAAAGAAAGGACTTCAAAGTTGGCCCCAAAGATATGGTTATATGATACATATATATTGCCCAAAAGAATAATATATATGTGATATATAATATTGTATAATATGTTTATTCGATATAAATTGGCCAGGCGTAGTGGCTCACACCTGTAATCCCAGCACTTTGAGGGACTGAGGTGGGCAGATGGCTTGAGCCCAAGAGTTCGAGACCAGCCTGGGTAGCATAGCAAGACCTCGTCTCTACAAAAAAATACAAAGATTAACAAGGCATGGTGGTGTATGCCTATAGTCCCAGCTACTCGGGAGGCTGAGGTGGGAGGATTGCTTGAGCCCAGGAGGTCGACGCCGCAGTGAGCTATGGTTGCACCACTGCATTCCAGCCTGGGTGACAAAGCAAGACCCTGTCTCAAAATATGTATGTATATTTATTTTACATATTTATATATCATTTACATCTGATATTTATCACATATCATATATATTTATATATCATTTATATCTTATATATAAGATATAGCTTAACATTTTATGTTTATTACATATGAATTATATATATTACACATAAAATGCATACACACAGTATATGATATATGGTCTATGTGATTATGAAAAATTATTAGAATTATCCTCTAGAATGTAACTCGACATCTAAAACTCAGTGAGTGGCTTAGATAGCCAAAGCTAAGATGGAGTTTTATTTACTTAGTTGGTGGTTTCTCCTTAAATCCTTTTTCCCCTCAAGCTGTTTCCAAGGATAGGGATTTTCATCCTTTTTACAGGTAGTAACCATTGTCAGACGTGAGGGGATAAGGAGTACCCTGGGAGGGCTTTAACCCACCTCCTTCATACTCTCCATCACTAAAATCAGGACTATCTGATGTGAGATGCAATGCAAACAGATTCAAAGCCTAATACTACTTATGCTTACTGCATGCCTGTTCACTATGTGGATTATCTCATTTACTTCTTTTATTAGTTTTCTATTGCTGCCATAACAAATTACCACCAGTGCAGCAGCTTAGACAACACAAATTTATTTATCTTAAGGTTTAGCCAAGCAGGGCAGCTCATGCCGATAATCCCAGCATTTGGGAGGTTGAGGCTGGAGGATTGCTTGAGGCCAGGAGTTCAAGACCAGCCTGGGCAGCATAGCGAGATGCCCATCTCTACAACAACAAAAAACATCTGTAGATGGAAGTCTGGTACAAGTATCACTCGACTAAAATCAGGTTGTTGGTAGGCTGTGTTCCTTTCTGGAGGCTGTTGGAGAAAATTTGGGTTGATGGTGGAATTCAGTTCCTTACGGTTATAGGTCTAAAGTCTGTTGTTTTGCCCTGGTTATAAACTAAGGGCCATTCCCAGCTCTAGATGCCACCAAATGTCCTTGGCTACTGGTATTCTTCTTTCATCTTTATAGCCAGTAATGAGAACGTCAAGTCCTTCTCATGTTACATCTCTCTGGCACTGACAATATTACCTTAATTTCATCTGTAAAGTATTTTGCCACATAAAGCAAGATATTCCCAGGTTCTGGCGATGAAGCTGTGGACATCTTTGGAAGACGATTATCCTGCCTACCACATTCTTCATGGCAGCACCATTAATGTCCCCATTTTATAGATAACTAGATTAGTTTAACATCTCTCAGCTAGTAAATAAAAGAACAATGACTTGATTCCAGATCTTATGCTTTTAACTTCTTGGTTATTTCGCATCCCTCATTAGTCAGATACAGACATTCAAAAGTCAAGCACATCTGAAAAATCTAGGACCATAATCTTTATAAATTAAAAAAGCTAAGAGCATACATATCCACAGAATTTACCACTTGTGGGTGTTTTGCTGTTTGGCTTCAAACACCCAGAAATCTCAACCACATTTTCCCACCACCTACCACACAAATCCCTTTCCCCCTACCTACCAGTAGAAACTTTTGGTGAGGTATCTGGACAAAAGTCCAAAAAGGCAAAGCCTACTCAGTTGCTTATCTGTAGCTGAGCTGAAGAGGAACCTCAGGTCTTCCCACCACCAAGCCCAAGACCACAGTATACTTCCCCAATGTCATTCCTGCATTTTCTATTCTTCTGTGGCACTTAGTTTCTTAGTGACCGCCACTTGCTTCTTCATCCCTGGGTTTCTGCTCTCTGGGAGTTCTCTCCCTGTCCCTCTACCACACAAACATGTAATTTACTTCTCCTTATTTTAAGAGTCCAATCAGCAGCCATGCTAATGGTGAGCAGAGGCGACACAAATTGAAGTTGGGGTGATAGCAATAGCTGCAGCAGATTTACTCCCCTATCGTCTCCATTAGTTCTCCCCTGTCACTTTACATATGCAGCCTAAGTCACAAAGTCCCACATTACTTTGACAAAAATGAAAGCTAATTTTTAAAGATGCTGGATCTCCCATCCTATTCCTTTCCAATCAAATTGTTCTAAGTCCTTGCTATAGAAATTCTGGAGCTGCCTCTAAGATCAATTTCTCATTTTATTAGAATAACAAAAATTGCAACTATGAAAGAGATAGGAGAGTTTTTAAACGTTTAGAAATCTTAGCGTGTTATTAAAGTCCTTGTCCTCTGGCCTTCCTGGTTTCTTTTTGAGGGTTGGCTGTGGTCCTGCCACCCCAGGGCCTGCAGTTCCTTACTTTAACTCCCCAAGAAAATTTCACCAGGTTGGTCAGATAAGGAGCAATCTCATCCATTTTAAGCAGGTCACTTGAATTTCTGAGAATTTCCAACAAAAGTGATTATCCCAAATATCAAAATCTCTGAAACTGTTTGATGGCATTTCCTTTTGCTTTCTTTTTCTTTATCTTTTATTTTCAGGTTTAATTCCCCTCTCTGAACTCCATGTTAAAATGGCTCCCTCCCCCTCTTCTTTCTCCAATGTTGTGAAATGAAAAGAAGTAATGTTTATAGTCAGCCTTCTATGTGGCTTGGCTCTAGACTTGGTCAGAGGAGGTTTTGTTTCTAAGAGGGGAAATTTCCGAAAACGACCAAGTCTTAATAAGCCCTGTCAACCTTCATTCATCCACTATAATGTCCAAGAAGTTGACATAAGAAAAAGTACATAAGTGCCACTGAAAATAGCAAGAAATTAGAGAGGATCTTAACCTGTCCAAGTTCTGAGGTTCTAAATGGTTTGCCTGTTTTCTCAGCAACCCTGTAGGTAGGAATTATTATTATCGTTTCGTGTATGGGGGAGCTCACATGGAAAGAGTAAATGACTTGTCCAAAGGCCGCATACCCAGGAAGTACAGAAGATCTTCAAGCCTTTTCTCTTAACTTCTTCATAGGCTACAAAGTGTTCAGCTTGCACTTTAAAAAATGCTGCCTTCATTAGGAGCCTCATAACTTTAAGTTAGAGAAACTAGATTCCATATCCATTTTAAAATATGCTGCTGGATAAATGTGGAAGGGCAGAATAAGAAAATGGTTGAACTTCAACATAAAACAGAATGTAGTGTTTATATTGTGGCTTATAAGTCATATAGGGTCTATTAGAAAAAACAGATAGATGTGGGAGTCAGAAAAGCTCCAAAAGAGTCCCAGCTAGGCTCCTAACATCACTGAGTCTAAGTTTCTTTGCCTAGAAATGGGTATAAAAATAGTTAATGTGATTACTGTAAAGACTAAGATAAATAATGTGGTCTTCCTATAAACAGTAAAAGGGCTACAGGACAAATGCATCTTTAATCATGTCTTTATCATCACATTCATTTCTTTTGTCAAACAACCATGTGTCAACTTTTCATACTTTACCAGTAATCTTTGCAATACCACAAAGTACATTAAATCATTCCTGTTTTAGAGATGAGGAAACCAGGGATCAGAGAGGATTAAGGAGCATACCTAACACCACACAGCTAGTGACAGACACTCTAGGGTGGGAACCCAGAGCTGATGATCTTAAACCCCACTGCTAACCTACAGAGCAGGTTTTTCCAGCAACTACTGATTGACTAGATAGGAAGGAGAAGCTTATACCCTTTTCTTTAAACTACATGTCTCCAAAAGCTAAACCAAAGGTGATCTTGCATGCAACTTTGGAAAATGCCAGGGGCTTATCGAGTCACAGAATTTTTAAGTTGAAAGAGACCTTAGAGAGCAATGGATTCTTGTCTGATTCCTCCAAACCTCAGTAGAAACTGAGGTTTCACAGGCCAAGTTGTTTATGTTATTTGTCTGATTTCTATGAACATTTTGGGCATATTCAGAGTGACAACTCAGGTCTCTTAACCCCAGTTCCTTGCTTATCCTACTTCTTTCAAAGTCTGGATAGATTCACAAAGCTGAAAAACATTGCACTTTACCTCAGTTCTCATTCTTTCTGGGTTCCATTGTTAGGCAGTTCCTTAGTTATCAAGAAAAGATCTACAACATAATTTCAAAAGCCCCTGAAAAAATTAATGATAGTTTTGAATGAAGCTTGAACATCTGCTATGTGCCAGACACTGTGTTAAGCACATTACCTTCCTTTTTGCAGTATCTTTCAAACTTTAGTTATTTGATTACTACCTTCATGAATTTTGCCAAATCTACATGCCACCTCTGTAGCTGTTAACTTAATATTTGTCTTTATATTGACCTTAAAGTTGTAACTACTTTAGCTTTATCCTGGGCTATAATACTCATGAAATCATGATGTGCTAATTATTCTTTAAATGCACATTATATGAACACTATATAAATAGTTTTTTATAGTGTTTATTTAAACATTGTATATAAACATAAACATATAAATAGTGTTTATATAATACGTATTTAAAGTATTTATATATTTATAATTTATATTTTATAATCAATTTATAATATAAATACTATTTAAATAATATATATTTAACACTATTAATAATTATATAACTATTAACGTTAAAATGTTTGTTGTCTAAGCCTCTCTAATATCATCTTATTTAATTACTCCCAAACTCTACTAGTATAATCCCTGAATATCCCATATTATGTCACTGAGCCCAAGTTTCTTTGCCTATAAAAAGGGTATATTGTATCCCAATATGTTCTTGTTTTCTCATAATAGAGAAAACCCAAAGCTCAGTTAAATAATGTAACCCAGGCCTCACAGCAGGTTACTGGCATTGCTAGAACCCAGATCCAAGTCTGGCTGACTCCAAAGCCAGTGCTGCTAACCATGCCATCTAATGACATAAAGGAATGTTCAACAGAGTAACTTGCACCAGATCAGAACTTAAAGGTGAGACTCTACAGGGCACAGATTGATTAACTTATATTATTGTGTGTACAGGGGTGGGTGAGTTTATTTAGGAACCATGTATAAGGGAGCAAGGACACTGTATCCTTTATAAGTTTTTTTTTTAAGTATCATATCTAGAGAGAAGTTGAAACAGTAGTGCAGTGATCATTCCATAACCTTCGCCTTTATTCACCAATGGTTAACATTCACCACGTTTGTTTAACTCTCACTCTGTGTGTGTTTGTGTGTGTGTTGTTTTGGCTGAACCATTTACAAATAAGCTATAGACATTTGTGTCATTTCACTCCTAAATACTTTAGCATGTACAAAGAGCAAAGACATCCTCCTACATAATTAGATACCATTATTATAACCAAGAGCGTGTCGTTGATACAGTAATATTATTTAAGATGCAGCCCATATTTAAAATTTCCCAACTGTCTCTAAAGTTCCCTTATTGCTGTTTTTTTCTTCCTTCCACAATCTAAATCATTTGTTGCATTTCGTTGTCAGTTTTTCTTAGTCCCTTTTAATCTAGAACAACCCTTCTACCTCTTTTGTCTCTCCTGCACTGACATTTTTAAGATTCCTGATGAGTTTTCATGATTAGATTTAGGTTAGTCTGCCTTTTTTTTTTTTTTTGGTTAGGAGGGGACATATTTCTTTAGTAATACGGTTATGCACAATTACTTGAAAAAACTTATGCAGACTAGTCAGTTAACTGAGCAAAAATCCTTAAAACCCCAATTACTGAATAAGAAATAGTTTTTCAATTGGCAAAGTAAAGAGAATTAATTTTGATCTGTAGTAGCTATACCCTACCTCCCCTAAATCCTCTATATGACTTGAATGTATTCCCCTATCTCCTGAAAACCAGAATTGAAATGAATATAATGCTGCTTTACCTTATCTTCTGTCATTGTACTAGTTGGGAGTCTTCCTGTCAATTCCAGGTCTTGTGTGAGTGTGGCACATGCACCTGACTAACTCCTGCCTGTTTATTCGCAGCTCTGCCTAGGCCTAGTTATGCATTGCAGGAGGAGGAGCAAGGAGAGGGAGGAGTTGGGCTACCCAGACCTAAGAGTCCAAGTCTAATCTTCTCAGTAGCAGCTGAATATTGATGGAAATCTAATCAATAAGTGCTTTGCTTTAGCAACCTGTGGCTTCAATGCCTTTGTTCCACTAGGAAAGAAAATGGGAGCAGGTCCCTTAGGCATGAGTTACAAACCAGAGGCAATCACATTTCAAGGCATGTGTTATGTGGCAGTAATTGGGAGCAGGTGAAAAGAGAAATCTTTGGAGGCTTTTGTAGAAGAGGAGATATGTTGAGCTGCCGTGCTGTGTTGTGGAGCATGGGAGACACACTGCACTCTGCTCCACAGAGAATTAGTGCTGTGGTGTTTCTGTTTAGAGCTGGGCTGTGTGGCCCGAGACCATTGTTGACTTGAATGGTTACCTGGATGAGCTTTGGATAGTTACAGACTTGGGTTTGAATCTCAACATTTTACTGGGGAGTATAACCTTAAGCAAGTGGCTCGCTGTGACTTTTCTCTGATTAGTTTTTAATTTTTGCCTGACAGAAGAGAAATAACACACATTTTGTTTTGTTGAGTGGATTAAATGAGATAATATGTGAAAGTGTTTGGCATAGTCTTAACTTACAATAAGTACTTAGCAAATGGCGGTGGTTATTGTTATTACTGTTATTGCTTCATGTATGTCAAGAAGCACTTGCTGGAGGCTTTAACGCAGAGTTCTCAAATAAATCTGCTCATATGGCTTGATCTTGGGCCTTTCTAAGTATCCCTTATGATATCCAAACTGCGTGGGGGTTCAGGAGATATCAAATTTATTGCGCTTTAAGTGTGCATGGCAGCTAGGGCCACACATTCCACTGAGGCTCAAATGGAGCCAGTCACCAGCAGAACAAAAATATAACAAGCAGCAACAAAATGAGGGTTGTTATGAAGAAACAGGGTGAGAAAATGAAGGATTAGAGGAGATTCAGATTTCACCTTTTTATTTTGCCACGCTGTTTTCATTTCTGTCACCTCTGCAAGGTGACACACCTGAAATGTTTGGTTTGAGAAGAGAATTCAATTCAAACCACTCACTTTTACTGAGCCCTGCACAGTTCCATGCTCTGAGATGACTGAGATAAATAAGTCACAGCTTCCTCTTGCTAGGTGTTTATAACATATAAGATGAGACATATGTAATGCAGATACAATAATTTCTTAGTGGAAAAGCATGAGCAAATATTAATAGTAACGATGGTTAATCTTTACTGAGGTCTTGCCGGGTGCCAGGTGCTGCTCTCAGCACTTGACATGGATTAACTCGTTTAGTCATAATATGAGGTGCTGAGTGTCATAGTGCCAAGCTTTGGGGAGCAGCTTTGAAGTCAGACTTTAAAGCGCCCAGGTAGCCACACTGACTTTCCGCATCAGTTTTGGCTGGTGATGGGCACGCCCAGTTGCCAGAGCGGTCCACAGTCAGGAGCGGTTCCATGGCATTTGCCAGTGACATGACATTCTGCAGGAAAGCGTCTCTGTGCCGCGTCGTAAATGATACCTGCTGCGGTTTACCAACCTTTGTCTTTTGGACCTGCCTTTTCAGAAACGAAATTTACCTTGAGTGCACGGGCGGCCAGTGAGGCTTTACTCTTGTGCTCAGCCTCAGCCGGCGCGGAGCGCGGCGGCAGGAAACCATTCTCTTCTCCCATTGGGAGCGCGACCCGCCATTCACTAGCGAGCCTTTGGGGGCACTCTGATCAGTTTCCTCAGGTTCAGCCAAGGCCTCTATGGTTCTGCTCTTTCTCAGAAATGAATGAGTAATCTCTGCACCATCTGGGATGTGCTAAAACTTGATCTCCGTGCGGGGAAGGGGTACGATTCAGTTACATCGATTGCACTGATTGCTTTTGCCTGCGGAGAAGTGATACGCGATTCCAGACTTTCAGGAGAGCGTGTCTTGGCGCCCACCGAGGAGTTGCAGGTCCCCTCACTGGCGTCGTTGCGCTCCTGGCTGTGGTGAAGTCAGGCTTTTTGCACTTTGCCATTGGAGTGGGCGCTATTCAATAACGTGCACGAGTGCCCGCAATCACCCGGAGATTTCCACTGGGCGGGGCAAAACCAGCTGTAGGCTTCATACCTTTAAACCCCCTAGTTCCCATTCGGATTACTTCGCAGATTAATGTAATCTTATTGGATGCCAAAAGTTCTAGGTGGTGACAGGACTGAACAGAGGCCCCCCTCCCCCTCCCCTTATTTTCATTGTTATCCTTCAGTACAATGAGAATAGTTCTGTTTTTTTCTTCTTCTATAAATGAGGAGGGGAGAGTGGGGAGGAAAACCAGCTATTCCAGCATGCTGCATTCCTCTCCAGTTGGGTCAGGTGTGGTTAAGTGCAAAGGCACCTCCTGGGAACAAATTAAATGAGGTCAAACTTGGCCAAGCCAGGAGTACACGAGAATATCGGAAGGTCCCAGTCCCTGAAGGACAGTCAGTGTATTTTAAGATTTTTGAGCCAAATTTGTCCCCATTGTAGCTTGCCAAAAAAGAGGGCAAACTCTTTACATCCTCTTCTCGCCCTCTCCACACTCTCTCCGTAGATATCTCTGTGGTCTGCATCTCTTCCACGTATGTTCGCACAGCCTCCTACCTGGCTTCCCTGCTCCCATCTTACCCTGCAGTACCTTCTTGACACAGTAGCTAATTTTAAAAGTTAGAGCATAATACACTCCTGCTTAAAAGTCTCCATAAGGCTTCCCAGTCACCCTCAGCAAGAAATCCATGTTTCTCACCACAGCCCAAGAGGTTGACTTGACATAGGCCCTGCGTGGCTCTGTGACCTTCTCCCCTTCCATGGGCCCAGCCACACTGGCCTCAGACTTGTCTAATATGTTCCATGGCTCAGCACCTTTGTACTCAATGAGCCTCTGCCTATAGCGCTTCTCCCTAGATTTGTATGTAGCTGGTTCCTTCTCTTCATTCAGATGACGGCTTAGTGAGAATTCCCTAATCAGGCTTCTTAAGATAGATACCACTTACCTTCTCTAACTCATCCTTGGGCCTGTTACTCTGCTTTATTTTCTTCTTAATGCTTATGCTTGAAATTTTATTATTTGCTTGTCTATTATTGTTTGCCACTTTCCTGCCAAAGCTAAATTCCACGAATGTGGAGACCTTGTTGTTATCCCCAGTGCCTAAGATAGTGCCTGGTACATAGTAGACACTCAACAAGTACTTATTTAATAAATTAAGTCCAAAAGGGTTGTCACGTGCTTTCTTGTGTTGGGGGAAGGGGTATTTCAGGCTGGGATTTGGACATTTATTGATTTAACATTCAGTGAATGTGGTATTTGCTGAACATTTTGCTAAGCACCAGTTATAACAGTGAACAAAACAGAGTAGAGTCTCTGCGCTTGTGGGGCTTACATTGTATGAAAGAAACTAAAGAGTTCTGGGGAAGGGAACAGGGGGCACCCATTTTAGAAAAGATGTTCAGAAAAATATTCTCTGTAGAGGTGCCTTTTTGGTTGAGACCTCAAGACCTTGTAGGCTATGGGAATAAGTTGGGCTTCAGGTGAAGGGCAATGGGAAGTCACCAGAGATAACTAAGAATGGGAGTGATCCCATATGATCCAATATATGTCTTAAGATTACTCATGCCATTGAGTGAGAGGTGGATTGGATGGGAGCATTTGTGGAAGAGGAGAGGTACAATTGGAACAATTCATGCTTGCTATTGACCACCAAGGCTAATAGTGGTAGCAGAGAAAGTGAAGTCCACATTCAAAATATATTTCGGTGTGTAAAGTAGATAGGACTTGCTGATAATTGCTTTTGGGAGAGGATGGAAAGAGAGAACTCGGGGTGATAGGTCGTTTTTTTTCTTTTTCTCTTTCTTTCTTTCTTTCTTTCTTTCTTTCTTTCTTTCTTTCTTTCTTTCTTTCTTTCTTTCTTAAGAGATTCAGTCTCGCTTTGTCACCCAGGTTGGAGTGCAGTGGCGCGATCTGGGCTCACTGCAACCTCCGCCTCCCAGGTTCTAGCAATTCTCCTGCCTCAGCCTCCCAAGTAGCTGGGATTACAGGTGCATGCGGCCATGCCCAGCTAATTTTTTTGTATTTTAGTAGAGATGGAGTTTCACTGTGTTGCCCAGGCTGGTCTTGAACTCGTGAGCTCAGGCAATCCACCTGCCTTGGCCTCCCAAAGTGCTAGGATTACAGGCGTGAGCCACCGCTCCCAGCCAATAGATAGTTTTCTTACTTGATAAACTGGGATGACCGTGATGATGCTATTTAATAGTATGGGTGCAGAATTGTTTAATCATCTGAGTAGCAATCCAAGTTTATCTTCCAGACTTCAGAGAAGGCCACTATAAAATAGTCAAAACAGGTATATTTTGTTTTACTTTAAAAACTTAAACTTTTTGCCAGGCATATTGGCTCATGCCTGTAATCCCAGTGCCTATAATCCCAGCAGTTTGGGAGGCCAAGGTGAAAGGATTGCTTGAGGCCAGGAGTTCAAGACCAACCTGGGGAAACACAGTGAGACCCTGTCTCTTTACAAAAATAATTAAAACAAATTATCCAGGCATGGTGGTGCATGCCTGTAGTCCCAGCTACTTGGGAGGCTGAGGTGAGAGGATCACTTAGGCCCAGGATTTTGAGGTTACAGTGAGCTGTGATTGTGCCACTGCACTCCAGCCTAGGCAATAGAGTAAGACCCTGTCTTAAAAAAAAAAAAAAATCAGCAGTTCTAAGAAATAATACAGAGAGCCCATGTATCCTTTACCCAATTTTCTCCAATGGTAACATCTTACAAGACTATGGTACAATAGTGAAGTTACAGAACATTCCTATCACCACGAGGATACCTCATGTTGCCCATTTATAGCCCCACCTAATTCCCTCTTACCCTTACTCATTCTTAAATCTTGGCAATCACCAATCAATTACATGTCTATAATTCTGTCATTTCAAGAATATTATAGAAATAGAATCATA